GTGGTGGAGGGTGGGAGGGCTGGGGTGGCTGGGTGATAGACATTGGGGAGGGTATGTGCTATGGTGAGCGCTGTGAATTGTGTAAGATTGTTGAGTCACAGACCTGTACCTCTGAAACAAATAATACATTATATGTTAAAAAAACAAAGAAAGGGTTAATGTTCCTTGTTGTAGTAGGTCAGTTATAGTTGAACAAACAGACTCTATAGGACTTCTAGAAGAAATGTGGGATCTCTGGATCCTGTTTGCCTTAAGGAGTATTCCATATTCTACATTATCTTCTGAGGTCAGATTCAAATTTTTCTTATACTTTTAGTTGACACACAGCTCCAGGACCATAAAATCTGTATCATTAAATGCAATTAACTCTTAGGTTACACTTTAATCAACTGTGTAAGAAGAGTTACAAAGATGGAATGATAGCCATTATGTATCATTTTGAGTCATATCCTGAGGTATTCACATAGACAGTGATGTTAAATGTATAAAAACTAAACACCAGTTTCATCTTTTTCTTTTAGATTCTAAGTGGCAAGAACTCAATCAGTTAACAGTTGATAGACAACAAAGACTGGAAGAATCCTCTAATAATCTAACCCAGTTCCAGACTGTAGAAGCTCAGTTAAAACAGTGGCTTGTGGAAAAAGAACTGATGGTCAGTGTTCTTGGGCCCTTGTCAATTGACCCCAATATGCTAAACACACAGAGGCAGCAGGTGCAGGTGAGTGTTACATGACTTAACGAGACAAATGTTTTCATTATAAATACATTAGCTTTGGACAGTATGTGCTTAAACTGCCTTGAAGTGTATTTGTAATGCTTCCGATGCCCATAAGATACTGTCCTGAGGTTAGTGGGGAACCCCCAGAGCACCAAAGCCAGGAGGCCTCCCAGAACAGTCTCCTGAGCCCATGAGTGGGTCGAGTCCCTTGATCATTTCAGTCACCTTGTGGTTTGTGCAGACCCTGTTAAAAAGGGCCTTCTTTGAAATATTAATGTGATTGTATAAGTAATAACATTTTTATGAGAAGCTGGTATGTGCTTTTTATTGTTTAGAAATTACTCCTTTGAGGTTTTATTCATTTTGATTGTGGTAGAAGATAATGAAACTTGTAAAACTCATGCAATACGCCCCTGAGGGGTGGAGAGACAGAATAAAAAGAGAAGAAAGAATAAGAGAAATAAAGAGGGAACCTTGAACCACACGTCGCTTAGACTGGTCTAATTATAAAGTGGATGAATCCACAAGGAGAAAAAAAATTCCTGAAATGTAAGTCAGAGGTAGAAGCAAAAGCTCCGTTGTGGTTCCAGTTGGATTTCCCTACGTCTACGTATGGTATCTAGAGCAGCGCGGCTAGTCCTGTACTTTGAAAATACAAATCAGTCTTTGTCATTGAGCATCAGCATGTCCTAGCTCATGTACGTTCTGAATCTGAAGAGAATGAAAGCAAAAGATATAAATAAATATCTGGGGAGAAATAATGGCCCCTAGTCTTGGTAGTCTCCCTGAGATAGATAAAATGTTGTAGTAACAAAGGGGGATTTCTGGGTCACTCATTGTATAATGGGAGTCAGTGCTGAGCCTGCACATTCTGAGCAACATGATTTATTGGCTAAAATTTTTATAATAGAGACTGTAAATGTTAATAAACCATGTATCTTAAAAAAGCCCTTGTAAAATAATGCCCCATGAGTTAATGTATTCTAACAGTGTCATCGGTGTGTATTTCCTTTGGTATAAAATGCTACAGAACATTTAAAATACCCTGCGAAGAGAAAACTACAAGTGGGAAAATACAAATTTGGTGTTTGTATGCTGTAAACTTGTCCAATAGCAGTGCTTCCCTTCATTTGTGAATATTTGTACATCAGCTGTCGTTCATTCTGCCCAGACTGCCATATTTACTCTCTGCTTTTTCCCCTTTGTGAAGGATGTTATTTTAGACAAAATGTTATCTCTGCAAAGCCCCGTTGCTCTTTGGACTAATTTAAGATCATTGCCCTGCCCTTGAAATAAAAACTAGGACAACAGGAACTAGAGAAAATAAAAACTAGGTAGATAAATACCATTTCTGTCTGTCTAGAAACTGAAAGCTCCGTTTCAGTTTCTTGGGTGTTTATTTACCCTCGCTACGTCTTCGCCTTAGATTCTGCTGCAAGAATTTGACACTCGGAAGCCTCAGTATGAACAGCTAACAGCAGCCGGCCGGGGCATTTTGAGCAGACCTGGGGAACACCCCTCTTTCCACGAGGTCGTGAAAGAGCAACTGGCAGCTGTGACCCAGAAGTGGGACAGCCTCACAGGACAACTGAGCGACAGATGTGACTGGATTGGCCAAGCCATTGTTAAGAGCACACAGTACCAAAGCCTGCTGAGAAGCCTTTCTGATAAACTGAGTGACTTGGATAATCAAGTCAGCAGCAGTGCGGCTGGGAGCACACACCCCGAGGCTATGAACCAGCAGTTGGAAGCAGCCCAAAAAATGAAGCAGGAACTAGAGCAGGAAATGAAGCAGATAAAAGTGGCCCAGGCCCTCTGTGAGGATTTGTCAGCACTGGTGAAGGAAGAGTACTTGAAGGCAGAACTTAGTAGGCAACTAGAAGGCATCTTAAAATCATTTAAGGATGTTGAGCAAAAAGCAGGTTTGTTTGTCTTCTTTGAATACGTGTATCTCCCCAGAAATGGAGATCCTGCCGTGCCTCTTTCCAGGCTGTTGCCCCAAATCTAGGACCCTGAAGGGACTCTGCCTGCTCTCCCTAGCACAGAGAGTGGTTCTGTGTTCATGAGCGGATGCAGCGGGGGAGCGGGGGCGGGGGGGGGGGCGCTACCGCCACACAAAAATGGGCAAAAGTCCGCTTAAGCATTGAAACGTCAGGTATTTCAAACTGGTCTTTAAAAGGTGTCCGTTAATGTTTTTTGTTGCGTGACTGTTTCATTGCCCCAGAGAAACAGGTGAGTACAGTGAATAAAAATGCCTCGCATCCTTTTCTCCCCTGTAGTTCCTCTGTTCTGTTCCGTTACAGAAAGCTTTTCTAGAGAAATGTGTGGAAGAGAAGCGCTGGGCCCTAGGTTCTTCTCTTGCCCCCTTGGCCCTGATTCTGTGACAGGTGCACCCGTGGGGCTCGGAGGCAGCAGGCGGGAGCTCCTGCACGCGAGGCGGGCCTGCTGGAGGACAGCACATTTGGCTACTGTGTTTGTTCTGTTTGAAAAGTAATGCTAAGTGCTTGGCAACTAGTAAATTCTCAGTTTACATATTTTTTTAATTGACTGGAATTGTTTGTTGATCGTAGCAACCATTTCAGACCTACTCCTTTATTTTGATGGGATATTGATAATATTGGCTCTGATGATGATGATTACTGTTATGATCACTTTCATGTGACGAGCATTAGGCTGAGAACTTTACATGTACTATCATTTAATTGCCACGGCAGCTTCTATTAAGTTTGCCACCCAGGCAGATGAGGCTCAGAGGTTTAATCATCCGTCCAAGGTCTAGCAGCTCCTGGGAGGTTGAGCCGGAACCTGAACCCATGCAGTTGTTCTGTGCTGCTGAATGGGGCCTTCATGATGTGTAAAAACCACACAAGTGGGCAAGTCATTTCCCTTTTAGACAGTTCTGTCCATTTATCTGATGGTTTTTGTCTTGGCTTTTCATAGACTAGATTACATTTTGATGTAAAATAAACATGTCTGTGATTTCATTTTTAGAGAATCACATTCAGCACCTTCAGTCAGCCTGTGCGAGCTCTCACCAATTTCAGCAAATGTCCCGAGATTTTCAGGTTTGGCTGGATACAAAGAAAGAAGAGCATAACCGTTCTCCCCCAATATCAGCCAAACTCGATGTCTTGGAGTCATTAATTAAAGATCAGAAAGACTTTAGTAAAACTCTGTCTGCTCAGTCTCATATTTATGAAAAAACCATTGCGGAAGGTGAAAATCTCCTACTAAAAACACAAGGGTCTGAGAAGGCAGCCTTACAGTCCCAACTTAACACAATTAAAACCAATTGGGATGGATTTAATAAGCAGGTGAAAGAACAGGAAGACAAGGTAAAAGATTCACTGGAAAAAGCCCTCAAGTATAAAGAGCATGTAGAGATTCTCCAGCCATGGATAGACAAATGTCAGAATAACCTGGGGGAAATAAAATTTTGCTTGGATCCTGCTGAAACAGAGAATGCTATGGCCAAGTTAAAGTCTCTGCAGAAGGAAATGAACCAACACTTGGGGATGGTAGAACTGCTTAACAACGCAGCCAACAGCTTGCTCAGTGTCTGTGAGGTAGATAAAGAGGTTGTCACGGATGAGAATAAATCACTGATCCAGAAAGTAGACATGGTCACTGAACAACTTCACAGTAAGAAACTCTCTCTGGAGAACATGGCCCAGAAGTTTAAGGAATTTCAAGAAGTTTCCAAAGAAGCTAAAAGGCAGCTTAAGTGTGCAAAGGAACAGCTGGATGTCCATGACTCCTTAGGACCCCAGGCCTACAGTAACAAGTACCTGACTGTGTTGCAGACCCAGCAGAAGGCACTTCAGACCATGAAGCATCAGGTAGATTTGGTCAAAGGACTTGCCCAGGACCTCGTGGTAGAAGCCTCAGACTCAAAGGGAACCTCTGATATTTTATTACAAGCAGAAACCTTAGCTCAAGAACATAGTGCACTGAATCAGCTGGTTGATGAAAGGTGTTCGTTCTTGGAAACCAAGCTTCAGGGCATTGGGCATTTCCAGAATACCATCCGAGAAATGTTTTCTCAGTTTGCAGAGTTCGATGACGAACTGGATAGCATGGCCCCAGTGGGGAGAGACGTAGAAACCTTGCAAAAGCAGAAGGAGGCAATTAAAGCCTTTCTGAAGAAACTAGAAGCTCTCATAGCCAGCAACGACAACGCTAATAAAACCTGCAAGATGATGCTGGCCATGGAAGAGACCTCGCCTGATCTCGTTGGAATCAAAAGGGACTTGGAAGCTTTAAGCAAACAATGCAACAAGTTACTGGACCGAGCTCAAGCCCGAGAAGAGCAGGTTGAAGGGACAATTGGACGTCTTGAAGAATTCTACAGCAAACTGAAGGAATTTTCTACTCTGCTTCAGAAGGCTGAAGAACATGAAGAGTCTCAAGGCCCTGTTGGTATGGAAACAGAGACAATTAACCAACAGCTTGATGTGTTCAAGGTAGGGAATTCTTCATTTTTACTGTTTTTAAAAAAAAATTTTAAGAAAATTTTTATTTCATATTTTTATTGTTTTTTACTAGAAAAATAATTTTTTATTTTTTATTATTAAAAGAAATTTAGAATTGGTACAGGAAGGAACAGTTGCCTAACCGTAGAGCCTTCTCATATGGCTGTCATGCAGCTTTTGAGCCTGGATGAGCCCATATGGGGGTAATATCCAGGCATGTGGAGATTTCCAAGCCTCCTGGGGATTTGGGCCCTCAGAGGATAAGACCTGAGATAATACCAAGAGGTCAAAGGGTGCTTGAAAAGTTGTAGGTGAGCCTGAAACTAACATTGTAGGGTCTATTTCTGATGTCATTCACAATTGACATCTGAAGTGAGCAGAGCCATGTTTTAAACTCTAGGGCAGAGGCCAGTCTATAGCATAAAAAGCTTGTTCTCTTCATGTTTGTCTCCCAGCATGTTATTTAAATGGTGAATTATAGTCTTTTCCTTTTTATAGTCTTCTTATCCTTCTTAATTTAATTTCTTTTGTAAACTTTTTCTTCCAAAAGTTCATATTTTTAAAGGCAGAGTGGAGTTCCATGTCGTAATCCTGGTTTTTTAAACACAGATCTTGGGCTCATGCTCCAGAGGATTAGGAATAAAATATTTTTGATTGGACTGCAAGTTCCTCAGTGCCAGAAATGTCTGCCACTTCATAGCGTGGAGTGAGGCTTAATAAAGGGAATATTAGATAAAAATGGTGGGCCACGTTCAGTGTCACTGGATTTGACCTCATTTATGATAGTAAGGGCAGAAGTTGCATCTCCGCAATGGACAAAGACAGGTTCAACCCTGCACGGAGGGGGTCCTAACTATCAAGAATTTGCTGCATGGGATTGATACGAATCTTTGGGGTTGGCATGGGTCTTGTTCTATTCATGAGGTATGTTTTACGTTGCAGTAGGGACCGGTATGACAGTAAGTCCCACCATTTGCACATAGAGACTAAAATAAGACCAGATAAAAGTAGCATTTGCAAAACTATCAATTGTTTCCCATGAGAAATGAATATGAGTCAGACGCACTAGCAAATTCTGTGCTGTTATATTTGACATAGTATTTCCTTTGCTCATCTTTAATAACATTATTTAGGTGACTGAGTTTTGAAAAATAACTTCTTTTTCTTATTACTATTATGGTTATTTGTTGTTTATAAAAAAAATTTTTTTAAAAATGAGAGGCAAAAAAAAAAAAAATGCCTTTAAGGCCCAGTTCCTTCAGGGCTTAAAAAATCTGTGATTCTGTATAGATACTGATTTTTGAAGGTGAAGGAAGTGTTAACCTTAAAAAGTAAAACTGCCAGTTATTTTGCCAGCAAAAGTTGGGTTTATTTGAGAATTGCAGCGTGGGACAGGCAAGCTAGGGCAAAACCATAGGCAAGTCTGAACAGAAGAGAGGAACATCCTTTGATAGAGGAAAGCTAGACGCTGGGGAAGGCTGTTATAAAGAAAACGTCCATTGGAGTACACTGGGATTTGAGAGGATAGTGACTTCTCAGTGGCTGAGTTGTGACCGTCTCTTATCAGCTGGACTGTTGTGGGGGTTTAGGGAGGAGGAGGTAAGCCTCTCTTCCTCCTGTCTGCATGGCAATGACGTAGTATCCACACGCGAGCTCTGCCTCTTCCTGTTGGATGTCAGTTGAGGACTGAGTGGTCTGGCATGAGAGCTCCCCCTGCTGAACTTCCCAGCCCCATTTTAGGGAGGTTTCCCTTAATGAATTTTCACAAAGGCTGCTACCATAGTGTTGACTTTACTTCCTTAATTAGCCTGTCAGACTTTCCAGTTTCTGGTTTGTAAAATCACGATTTCACACAAGAGAATTCGCTAGTAGAAAAACAAAGTTCTGTGGCCCTGGCTGCCTCAGAGTCTTGGGGAGAGCTTGATGAGTGAGTGTCTGGGGTTTTCTGTAGAACCCCAACAAAATTTGAATGCTTAAATGACAGTAATCAAGCTGCCTTTGTCCTAGTGAAATTGAAGCATGTTCAGTGCCTTTGTGAAACTTTTTATCATTTCTCTGGATTTTCTGTGAATTTGTGTAGAAAAAAAACTACTCCAACCACTTGTAAGAAAATGGGCCAGAGTAATAATATTAGTACTGCTGCTTGTAGATGCCTCCCTCTTTGTGTTCCCAGGCATGGGTACGATGAAAAATGTGGCTCTCTATATAGAGAGTTCTTTTGAAAGTAAGAAAAAGCAAGGTAGGAGGAGCTCTCTCACCATTGCATTGAATGTGTTTTTGCAAACTCAAAAGCACTAAAGCATCATTACCATTAATGGTTACAGAGCTTGTTTTATTTGATTGTGGAGAGAAATAAAGTGGTCATTTCTTCTCAAATAAACCACTTAGCATGCTGCGTTGTCTCTTTTCTGATTACTTTGGAGGGAGTTGATTATTTTAATGAAATTTAGTAATGAAGAACATCTTGACATAACTTCAGGGTCTTGAGACCCAGTGACTAAAATAAAAGTTTCCAAGTGGACAAATCGTCTGCATTTAATATATTCCAGGACCAGAGGGGAAAAAATAACAAGAATGTTATTATGGGAAATAAAGATGGTAGCATACACAATCACTAATTCTATTTATTTGTGTGTGTATGTTCTAAAAAAAACAGTTACAACAATTAATATTTATTGAGGGCTTACTGTGTGTCAAGCATTACTGTAAACTCTGTCTTAATCCTGTTAACAGTCCTGAGACATGGATGCTATTATTATCTCCATCTTAGTGTAAGGAAGCTGAGAGCCAGGGGTTAGGTGACTTGCCCAAGGTCACACAGGTAGTAAGTGTCACAGCTTGGATGTTTTGGTAGAAATAATGCAGTGTTTTGTGTCAACTTGATGCCTCATGATGTACATCTGGTTATTTTCTCTGGGAAATTTTAAAACATCTCTGCTGTAGCCAAATTTGGGTGGCCTAAGTAACTAGCCGTTGTTCATTTCAGTCCAAAAACTAGCAATACCCACCTAATGTAAGTGTTCCATAAAACTGGCTGCTATGAGAAAAACGAGATAAATGTGTGTGGAATTGCCTTGGAAACTGGTGTGGAGATGCTGTAATGTTGATGGCGATGGGGTTGACTACCACCCCCTCTGCTGCTGACACAGAACCAAACTTGTCATTGTCTGAGTGAGTCTCTCTTGACTCAAGTGGCAAATCAGTTTGTGTACAACTCAGATCTTAATTTGTTTTTTGTTGGACATTAGTTTTAACATAGTATTTTGGGAAGATTGAAAAATTTTTTTAAGTAGAATAATCTGTATTATTAATATAATAATAATAGTCTGCTAAAAAGCTATTTTTATAATTTCTAAAAATAAAACAGAAGGAGCACTGAAGTACTGGGTCTGTTTTTATTATAGACTTTGCAATGTAATCCAGTTTGACATTATCAGGTAGCTTTAGTTTAACCTAATATCGTGGATAGAATCTTATAATAATTTTTCATAATATAAAATTCAGAGTAGGACTGAAACTTAGTAGGTATTACCCAGTTACTTGGTAGGGGGTGCCTTATATTCATTGGGAGTGGAATGGATTGTATAAATTAGGTAAAACAGACTTCTCTGCTTCCGTTTTTTTTTTTTTTTTCTAAAAATTAACCTAAGAAATAGCAGTTAATATCCTTGAAAGTTCAAAATTAATTCATGTTTAAGATACCAACCCAAACATAATGATTAAAAGCAAATGCTATTTTGAACCAAATGTCCTAATTCACTGTCTGTGAAAGCTGTTCCAAGTTTTTGAAAATAGATTGGTATTACCTTTTGTGTTAGCTTAAAGTTTTTAAATTATTTGATTGTATGAGTTCTGTTTACCATATGTTTTCTGACTTCTAAATATTAGTCACTAACTAAAACGTATGAAGTGGGAGGTGTTTTCTATTAAGGTGTTTTCTGTTAAGGTGTTTTCTATTAAGATTACTAGCTTAACATTATCTTCAAATCTAAGCTACATTATTAAGTAATATTAATATTTCCACATTTTTATTTATCAAAGACACATGTAACCAGCTCTATACAAGGAACATGTCCCAGCAGTTCCTGTGATGTCATCAACAGCCAGTCAGATCTTCTGATCATCACAAAGTAATCGCTATCACCATATTGAATTGATTTAATTTCAGTGAAGATCAAAGAAACTTGATGTTTTAATGAACATATACAGTCACATCCTAGCTAAATATATACCCTTCCCGCCTCTATCTAGGCCATGGTAAAAAGGCTTGCCTCAGAACCTGTTTACTCTTTATTTCTGGCCACTCTGTTGCTGCCCCAAATTGTAATTCAGTTTGTCCCCACAAATAACGTATCACCAGTACAAAGTCTCTCTAAACTGATTTTATTTTCAAAATTGAAATAGAATTACGTAGAGCAGAAAATGTTTAGGCCAAACCAAAACCATAGACAAAGACCAGAACACCTGCCTCATACACTGTGATACATGTTCTTTGGTCCAGGTGAAGGCATTGTTTAACCCAGGTGTCTTCATGTGAATAGTGGGTGAGCTAAAATGCCAGGGATCATGGGGCTGCAGAAACCAGGCAGTTGGAGCCCTATTTGTAAATAGTATTGCTGAAATAAATCACTTTCCAAATACCTTCCTACGATATTTATGAAATGATCCTAAAACAACCTCTGTAATGTCACCATATTTTTAAAGATAAAACTGAACTGTCCACAGAATGCTTTAACATAATGGGTTTTAAGTGTGCCCATGTTGTTATATAGAGGCCCATGGTGAATTGTTCCCTTTTTTTGTTGAGAACAGGAGGAAATGAAATAAAGCTGTTGTAGAAGAGGGGGAAAAAAAAATCTTACTTACTTGATTGGATTTCTGTTAATGTGACTAGATTAGCAAGGCAGTTGCACAATATCTTCCTCTGGTATTTTTAAAAATGAAAATATGTTCACTGTAGAAACCACAATGTGATGCATGGGCCTTATGGG